CGGGGTGTGCTCTATGTGGTGCGAGTGCCCTGGGTCAGTGCCTGGCCCTCTCCGGCAGGTTGGGTGCTCATGTCTCTGCTCCCCCGCCTATAGTTACAGGTGTCATGGTCGCATCACACCGAGAGCCTTCGTTTTCTCCTGCCCACAGCCACCTCAGCGTGGGCACTTTTCTGAGCAAGCCAGACTGCATTCTTGAGGGTGGCATGGTGGCTGTTGGTACAGCAGCATGTTCTGTAGCTCTGGGTAGCTGTGTGCTCCTGCTGTGGGACAGCTCAGCTGCAGTCCGGGAGACCCTCCCCACATGGTCCAGCCTGTGCTGGAGGAGCCTCTGTCCTACGCTTTCCTCGGGGAAAGTGTTTTTGTTGCCACACTGTCCATCGGTGTGCACACTTCCCCCTTCCCAGTTCAGGGTGGAGGTTGGAGCAATGCCTCTGGTCCGCACTGGCCTTGTGATGAGTGATGGCTTCCCTCAGCCTGAGAGCTCTCAGTGGCTGCTCACAAGGGCTCACTGCTGCAGGGGGTGCCCGGTCCTTTGTCCCTGGGCTTTGCACTCTGCGGAGCCTGCAGTGGTTACATGGGGCTCCAAGAGTCAAGCTGCTTTTCACCCGGAGGCTGCTTCTCCTTGGGCAGTTGGCATTACGCCCATGACGCGCTGCCTGGGAGAAGGGCATTTCGGTTACCTCACTGGGCTCTGGGTAGCCAAAAGGAAGCCCTCTGGGTAGGTAATATCTGACATGCACTTGCAGTGTGTAATTGGAGCCACGAGAAAGGGTTTTGTTCAAAGCTAGTGAACAGTTTCCTTATTTTAAATCTGTTGGATCTGCAAAAAGTCGTTGGCTTTTGAATCTTCTCTCTGATAATGATTTTATATAAAATTTAGCACAAAGAGGTTTGTGGTCAGGGTGCCCCAGCCTTGGGTACACCCATTTCCAGGTGCCACTGAGGCTGACCTGGCCTTGTCACCTGCCGGGTGAGTCAGAGCCGGCAGCTGGTTTCCCCCTTTCTGGTTGTGGGGTCTCTCGTTTTGCTGTCTTACCCAAGCTGCTGCTCTTTCTGTAGTCAGAGACCTTCCCAGTGGCCCAGGGCAGAGTTCACTGCCTTGCTCACTTGGCCTCTGGCAGCTGTGCTTCAGCCCTGGTGTTTGCTGTGGCCTGCGGAGGGTCCTTGAGTGGGTGTCTTGGGAGAGTGCAGGACAGTCGTGAGGATGCGTGCTTGGGTCATGGGGCTTCCAGGTGACGTGGGGCAGCGCTGGTAATAGGCCATAGGCCTGGCTGGCTTTGCTCTCTGCTCCTTTGACTTAGCCACCTTGTCTACGGCCATACCACCCTGAATGCGCCCCGATCTCACCTGACGTAGTCACCTTGCTGCCCAGGACATGTTGGATGGTGGTCAGTGTGTGGTGGTTGTCTGAGCTCTGGCTCCTTCCCCCTGCCCCCTGCACAGGCTGGCTCCCCCCAGGCGGAGATGTAGGCTGACAGACCCATGGGTGGTGGGTCCTCCCAGCCCGAGAGTGTCTGTGTCCGGACAGGGGCCAGAGGCAGTTAATGGCCTGTCATTTCTGATTCTCGGGGCTGGTTTGCCTCTCTAGCCAGTGCAAGGGGCATTTTGCAGAACTGTCTCACTCCAGCCTGGGAGCAGAAACCCTTTTCTCTGCCAGGCTGCACAGTGCCGCAGAGGCTGTTCTCGGGTGGCGCTGAGCAGCTCCCTCTCTGGAGCTGACATGGGAGCCGTGTGGAGGGGTTGGGAATGCCGACACTGCCTCTTGTAGCTGTCTGCTTGGAAATTGGTTTTGTTCTGTGGAACGGTAAACTGACACTCAGAGAGGGTGGGCGTCTAGGTGTCCCTGGGGCCATGGACTCACCAACTGGCCTTGCCCGGAGCATCTTGGCAGCCCCGTGGGGGAGTCCAGGAGTGGGGCCAGTAGCAGCTGCACCCCCTCCCACAGTGTCACTGCCGATCAGTGTGGATGGGCCACCCTCCTCTCCTAGGGGATTTGAGGGACGCCGGCACACTAGGAGCAATTCCAGGCCAGTGAGGTTTCTTCAGAGGGGCAGTGAGGGCTTTGCCAGCATTACAGACCTGTTTTAGCTCCGAGTGAGGTCAGTGTTAGACGTACCTGCTTCAGCTTCATTGGGTTTGCCTTTCTACAGCTTCTGGGAGTGGGAGGAGGCTCTGAGTGGAGAAGGTGGACGTGAGGCATTTACAGGGATCACAGGTGGTGCTCCAGAACCAGGCTCAGTCCCAGGCGGCTGACTTCTCATGAGGTCACCTGGTTTCGAGGCTCTGACCCCTTTGAGGAGGCCCAGCACACATTTTGTTGTGAGGGTTGGGCAGCACGGCCAGGTGGGTGGGGGCTCTTGAGAGGGAGCTGGCAAGTTGGCTTGTGTGGCCACATGGGGTGGGCTGGGAAGGGAGAATTGGGGTACATAGCGGCTGCCAGGACAGCATGTGGAGAGGCCAGAGCAGCGGCCTCGGTGTGATTGTTCTGCTCTGTGTTGTGCTGCAGCAGGCACTCAGGAGACAGACTTGTCTTGGACCCCCTGGGTGGCCTCCTAGGTATCTGCAAGGGACTGCAGTGTGTGTGTGTATGTGTGTGTGTGTGTGTGTGTGTGTGTGTGTGTGTGTGTGTGTGTGTGTAAAAAAAATGTGTGTGTGTGTGTGTGTGTGTGTGTGTGTGTGTGTGTGTGTGTGTGTCTCTCTACGGGGAAACGAGACTTGGCCAGGGGGCTGGGCCTTGCTGGGGTTCAGAGAAGGGTGAAGAGGCAGCCAGGGCATCCATGGGAACCCCACAGTCCTGTTGCTTTCTCAGGACCTGTATGACCCTGGCCCTCGATTCGTCTGGTGTACAGACCTGGCCAGAGGCCTCCTTCCTGTGGAAGTGGACGTAACCAACATCACAGTGTCTATGAGGCGTTTACTTTGGAAAGTTCATTTTTAAGTAAACTTATAAATAGCAAATTTGTAATCTCATTGAAAATAATCACCATGTATATGACAAATAAACTGGAATTGTATCAGTATTTTGGGGGCTGTTACACAGAATAAAAATCTTTAGAACAGAAAGGCGGGAGATTCATATGTAACATTTGCAGTCCTACTTTGGTACCAGGGATCGAATTCAGGTCTTTGTGCTTGTGAGGCAGGCAGTGGAACCACTGAGCTAAATCCCGGCCCTGCAGTCCTGCTTTGTGTGGCTTTTGTCTGGGTGCTATCTCCCTGGGGATGGTGCGGGCAGCTGTGTGGCTGGTGCTGAGGAGTGGACGGTGGGGCGCACTGTGGGCAGTGTTGTCTGTTGCATCTGGAAGGTCGCCATTGGGCTTCTTCCACCCCGGCTGATCTGGTTGACCCCCACAGATGGTAGCCAGTTCCTGTGTAGTGTGTGGCTACCGGCTAGGTGCCGGTGAAACCCGGTCCACTTGGAGACTGCTTGCTGTGTGCGAGATGCTGCCAGAGTGCGTGCTGACAGCAGGGCTGCCCTCTGGCCTTGTCTGCTGCTCCTGCTGCCCATCCTGTGGGTGTGGCTGGCTGTCACCTTTTCACTCCTTTCAGTCGCTTGCTGACCTGCAGAGCAGTTTTGCTGAGGTGGCCATAGCACTTGAACATGGGAAATGTCTCACTTTCCTCTGTTAGTAGATGGTCACACGCTTGTATTTATTTTTTTCTTGCAATACTGGGACTGAACCCAGGAAGCACTGAGCTACATCCCTACCCCATTTTATATTTTATTTTTGAGAATAAGGTCTTGCCAAGTTGCCTAGCCTGGCCTTGAGAGCTTTGATCCTCCTGTCTCAGCCTCCCTGGCAGCTGACATTACAAGTGTGAGCCATAGCACCTGACTGTTTTTATTTTTAAGCATTGGTATGGGCTGTTTGGTATTCTTTATGGCATCATAGTTGGGCTTTTTTTTTTTTTTTGGGTACGGGGGCGCTGAACTCGGGACCTTGCATTTGCAAGGCAGATGGTGGAACCACTGAGCTAAATTCCTGGTCCCATAGTTGGTTATTTTTAATCAGTAAATTGGGACTTTTAGTGTGGTCTTTCAAAAAGTTCTGTTTGGTGTAACTAGAAAAATTACTGTTTTGTCCTTAAATTGCAAAATAAATATTTTTCTTAAGCTCTTTTTGGTTACTTTTTCTTGTTGGCAGTTTTAAGAAGTGTGGTTCACTTACAGAATATTTTAGTAAGTGCAGTTTATCTTCTTTTCCAGTACTGGGGGTTAAACCCAGGGCCTTCACCCTGTGTGAAGGCCTCTGCCCTTTAATTTTTTTTTTTAATTTTGAGACAGGTTTTTGCTAAGTGACTAAGTTGCCCAGGCTAGATTCGAACTTGCTATTCTCCTGCTTCCGCCTCCCAGAGTGCTGGGATTCAGGCATTGGCACCACACCTGGCTTGTTATTTTTAACTACTGTGCATATTTCCTCTGTGCAGACCCTCCCCTGTACTTGAGGACACAGCCCTAGTGGACAGAGCAGGTAATTGCCAAGGCCTGGGTGCTGTGTGCTCTGGGACGTTCCTGTGACCCTTGTCAGCAGCACATGGTGACGTCAGTCATTCAGTTGCTCGTCTTCACGGGGCCCAGACAGTGCACCTCATGTCGCTATGGTCACAGTCATTTCAGATGGTGAGGTCCACAGCGCAGTCCAGGGCCACGTTTGCTGCCTCAGAGTCCTCATGCCTGAATCTCTGGGGACCATGCATGGCTGCTCTCCCTGGAGGCTGTCAAGGACCTGCTGCCAGGTGGCCTGATGTGTGGGCACCTGGGGTCCCAGGAAACTCATGTCTTTGCTGTATCACATGAAGCTCCCAGTGCTGGGGTCAGCCTCTGCCCTTGGAGCTCAGCAGGGAGCTCATGCTCTTGTGAAGGAGCCACTGTTTACCTACCTGACTGTGCCTGCTGTGAGGCACAGGCTTCCCTCTTGCCTGTGGGGTTTGCTCTTGCATTTGTGATTGTTGGTGCTGCACCGTGGCATGCTGGCTCTCACTGTCTATGTCTTCTGCAGTGGTTGCCGTGATCTTGAGGGCTGTGACCTATGAGGAGAAGCGGGGAGCCTTCAGTGTGGGTGCCAATGTCAGGGATGCTGCCTGCTACGTGTGCTGGGCCTTTGCGCGAGCCTACGACCCGCAGGAGCTGGAGTCCTTTGTAGCTGCCATTGCCAGGTGAGCCTTTTTGAGGGTACTATTTTCTTATGGGGCAGGGTTCCTGGTTTCAGGGCTCAGTGGAAAACAGCACCCTGACAGCCCCTCCTGTGGACCCAGGTCCTGGGGAGCAGTCAGGAATCACCAGTGGGAAGAGCGTGCTCAGGAGAGCCGAGAACACAGAGGTGTGTGTGTGCTGGTGCTGCTGGTGCTGGTGGTGGTGGTGGTCTGCCCTGGTACCGTCTGGCCCTGTTTCCTGGTGTCCACAGACTACCGTGTTACTCGGCCTCCTCAGGAGCTCTGTGCAGAGCATGGTGCCCTGGGGAGAGAAGCCTCATTAGCAGGTTACTGCGTCACCAGGAGGATGGGGATCCCAGTGCCCTCTGAGGCTGTGTTGGCATCCCAGGGCGGGAAGCGAGGCTCCCGAGGTTTCCGGGGGAGGTCTCAAGCCCGTGCCATCCTGCGTGGCTCTTATGAGTTGTTAATTTTTACTTGGAGAGATACAAAATAGTGGTCTCTAAGTTTTATGTGCTAGTCTGATAGGTGACTGCTGGCTCCCTGGAGTCCTGAGTGGCTGAGGAAGGGCTCTGAGGGACTGCATACCCACCCTCGCGGTGTGACACACAGAGGTTCACCCGATAACTTAGACGTGGAGAAGGAACCAGGTGACAGTGTTGGAGCCAGAGGAAGGAAAATCCCATATTCAAGCCTTATCTGGGCAACTTAGCAGACTTTGTCTCAAAATAAGAAGAAAAAAAAAAAGGGGGTGTGAGGGGCTGGGCATGTAGTTCAGTCGTGAGCCCTTGCCCTTGCCCAGCGTTTGTCAGGTGTGTCCTCTGGCTCAGCGTATGCAAAGCTGCAGCTTGTTAGGTGGCCATGCTGGGTACTGTACACAGTGCCCAAGAGGACGAGTGACTATGTGGTCAAGCCCACCAAGCAGGTGGACTCTGCCTGGGGGCACTCTGGCCCTCTGGGGCCATCCTAGGTACCCTCTGCCTGAGACCCTCCACAGGTACCTCTGGTAAGGCCCGTGGCTGGCTGGCCATCAGCACACTGTGGGACACACACTGGCTCCAGGATCACCCCAGTGTGGGTTCAGGGGTGCTGTGACTGCAGCTGTCTTCTCTTTGCAGGCATTTCCCTGAACCCTGCATTTACCAAGCCTTGTGTGCACTGCATTTCCTTCGGGGTTGCATTGGGGCAGAGTCTCCCAACCTAGGTAGCCACAGAAGTGGCTCCTGCCCTTGCTCTGGGAGATAAGGCCCTCCTGAGGAAGCTTCAAAGGTGTCTGTTCCCTCCTGTTGTTTCTGCCTTTGAGAGGGTCAGTGGGCTCCAGGGCCCTTGTGTTGGCCGGGCTTGTGGAGGACATCTTCCCTGAGGCTATCGAGGCCCAGAGTAGCGGAGAGCAGGTGTGACTATGCCTCTGTCCATTGTCCCTGTGGCCAGCTCTGCCTGCTGCAGCTGGCTGGCTGCAGGTAGTCTTTCATGAGCCCAGCTCTCCCACAGCTGTTCTGCCCTGTGGACAGAAGTTTGGTTGTCTTTCTGTTTTGGGAAAGGTTCTTTCTGCCACTTTGTCTTGCTCCCCAACTTTCTGGAAGCTGACCCAGTAACCAGGGAACAAAAGAAAAATGTTTTCCTGTGGTTTATATCAACTGTCTCAGAACAGTGAAACTTCTGTAGGTTAGTCAAGCCTGGCTCAGGTCCTGCAGCACTTTGATGGGGAGAAGCTGTGATGGGGCCCAAGAGCCGAGGGAGTCTGTCTGCTCAGGCCAGGGGTCTCTGTCACTGTGCACGTGAGTCCTGTTCCTGAAGGGTGTTGAGGTGCAGTGGAGCCATGGAAAGGGTTTCCTGGGGCCTGTGTGCTTTCTTCAGCTCCTGAACTGATGGCACAGCGACTTTGGGAAGAGCAGCTGGTGAGTGGGGACCTGCCTTCCAGGGAATTGTCTGCAGTGGTGCTTGGTGCATGGGCCAGAGGGCTGGGTGGTGGTCTGCCCAGGGGGCCTGAGCCTCCTTTGGGGTGGCCTCTGTTGGAACCTAGTAGGTGGCATGGAAGCTGTGTTTCTGAGCTGGCCCGGGGTCGACAGTGTAGCCAGGTGCCCGAGGGTTAAGGAAGGACTCAGGTCTCTAGGAGAGCCAGAGTGTGATTAGTGTGTGACCACATCCTGTCTCCGTCTGTAGAAACTCAACGTGGGTCCAGGGGAGCCTTAGCTGCCACGAGTGCGCGTTTACCAGCCTGCCCCATCTGAACAGCCTTTGGATTTCTTCTGCTTAGCCCAGGAGTCAGCAGCAGTGCTGCTGCCTGTGGAGTTTGTGCTGAAGAAGGCCCCTCGCCCCTTGGCCTGTGCCCACTGGGTCAGGTCGGGTCAGCTTTGTGCTTTGGGGCTGTGCCCGCTGCAGGTTGCAGGCTGGTTCGGCAGGTTTGAGGGAACCTTCGTGCCCTGCCCTCCCCGGGCAGTCCAGACTCCAGGCATGTGGCGGGGGAGGTGGCAGGTGAGTCAGGGAGCACTCTGCTGGCCTCCCTGCCCGGGAGCTTGTGCTGCCTGCCCAAGCCCAGCCGAGTATCGGTTGGGGTGTGCCTCCAGGCCTGCCCAGCCCAGGTCTGCTCAGCATGAGTGACCACGCTTTAATTAGCCGCTTTTAAGCCCATTAATTCTGGCACTGGATAAAATCTTGATATCCTTACTTTCACAAACTCTCCAGAGTATCCTGTAAAAGTAGACAGTTGAGATCAAAATAGCCGTCTCTAAGTGGAATGACAATGCCTGATAGGAAGATCTGGGTGGGGACTGAGAGGAACCCGCTTGGGCCACCAGCTCTTCTGCTCAGGGTGCTCCGTCCTTGGAGATCGCAATGCAGGACATAGTGTCATTTTACTGAGGAAATTTGTATTAACTGTCATCCTGCCTCAGTGTAAATTTGTATTGCTCCTCTCTTATTTATTATTTTTATTTGCATGTTTGTGGTACATGTTGGCTACATTCATGTGAGGAGTCGTGTACATAACTTATTTTAGTTCTTTTTAAAACCCCACCATCCTTTGGTTTGCAAAAATATTTATTTCCCTACTTTCTGTTATCTATCTTTTTTTTGGTACCAGGGATCGAACTCGGGACCTTGAGCTTGCGAGGCAGGTGGTGGCACCACTGAACTAAATCCCTGGACTTCTATTGTCTATCTTAAAGAGTTTTTTTAGTCAGATTTTTTTTTTTTTCTGGTACCGGGATCAAACTCAGAACAGTGCACTTGCCAGGCAGGCATGGTGCTGCTAAGCTAAATCCCCAGCCTTAGTCAGATTTTTTTTGTGTGTTTTGAAGTTATATTGGTTACTTCCAAAAACCAATCATTCCTCAGCCTTGTACACAAACAGCTGGGGTGGGGGAGGCAACTGTGGCTCCCGGAACCTGGGGTTTCTTGAAAAGCAGGTGTGCTGCAGCAGCAAGGAGACCTGTGCTGTGACAGCACAGCGGCATGGGTGTTCATCAGCTAGAAAATTCGTTCTGACCAGTGATCAGAAGGACAGAAAAGGATTGGGTTCTGTTGCCAGCATGCTCTGACCATCACCTTTCAGTGATTTCCTCACCTGAAACTCTTTGGTAAGCCGAGCCCCAGCTGACATGAGCTCCCACCCCTGCCCCAGGCGGCTCCTGACTCTACTTCTGTGGCAAACCGGTCTGGCAGCGTGGGCTGCAGGGGCTGGGGATTGGTTCAGTGAGATCTCTTCCTTGAGGGCAAGATTGTCCTGAAATCAGGAAATAGCAAGCATTGCTCAAAGCTATGTCTTGTTCTCCCTGGGCTTCTGAGGTCTTGCTTGTGAGGGAGATACTGGACAGCCTTGTGCTACCCAAAGAGGCAGCCATCGTGGTGGGCCACGTGTTCTGTCTCCAAGTGACCCAGGAACACTGGGCACTGTCACTTTGTGACGGTGCTGCTGGCTCTTCTTAGGTCCTGGCACATTCCGCCAAAGACAGGGCTCACATCTCACTTGAGGAAGTCTGTGATTTTCAGTTTGTGAAAAGATGGATGGATAGTATATTATTAGTCTGGTATTAAAATTTTTTTACTTCAGGGCTGAGAGTGCAGAGTGTTTACTCAACGTGTGTGAAACCCTGGATTCATCCTCAGCACTGGAAAAAAAAAAAAACCCAAAAAACAAAAAAACAGAATAACAGGATTATTATTGCTCAGTTGGAAGCAGGGTTTGGCTTTTGAGTGTTGTAGAATATTGCACAAATAAGAAAAGCTGAGCTCAGGTGAGCTGGAGCAGGAGTGAGTGGAGCTGTGTGCTTCCCTTGATTGCAGGCCGGGTCTGTGCTGGGTGGTGACCCAGCTGCTGTGCTGGAGTCGCCTCCCCTCCCCCAGGCTCTGGGTACAACCCTGGCTCTTGCTGCCGACCTGCTGGGGTGGTGGAGGCCTGGCCTTAGGAGCAGTGGTTTGGGGAGGTGCGTTCCTGTTTATATATGTAACCAGTATCGTTAAACCTATTTGTATTTGACACATACTAGTATTTCTAGATAAGCCAGTTTTGTTCTTTGTGTGAAAGTAGTTTTTAAAAATTGAGTCCAAATCAAAATACTCTTCAAAACCCTGTTGCAGCTGTGGACACACACTTGTCCTGTTGGATTAACTGGGAAGCCTGCAGCAGTGGTCCTCAGGCATTGTTAAGTTCGTTTTGTGTCCTGTGCAGTTTGGTGGAAGTGTGTGGATGAGGCAGTAGCTGTTGTGAGATGTTTACATGATGGGAGTGTGTGTCAGGCTTCGTGCTCAGTCTGGTGGTTCCCACCCCGGGGATCTCTGTGGACTAGTCTCAGCTCTCAGCCGTGGCTCCTGTGTGCCAAAAGCAAGGCCATCTGTGATCTCACCACCCATGTTACTGCCCGTTCTTAGGAGTGGGCTCCTGGGGTTTCTCTAAGCATCAGAGTTGGTCTGCGTGGTTGTGCCATGGTTGGTGACCGGGCCGGCCTACAGTGGCTGCACTGGCTGCTGGGGGAGTCTTCAGAGCCGGGGGTTGGGGTCCTGATCTCCTGGGCTCCTGGGTGTTGCTGCCAAGCATAGGAGAGGTGTGTGGAGGGGGGGAGTGTGTGCCCGGCCCCTTGACACCTGGGATGGGTGATGGCACTGGGCAGGGAGCCCCACTTGCCCTGCAGATGGCACATGCAGATACAGAGCTGCTTGTAAAGAGTTTTAGGAAAAAGGCGGCAGGGGTGGAGGCCTCGAGGAGGGAGATGCTTAGGGCCAACCCTGGAGACCATCCAGGGCTTAACCGCCTGCCTGCTTCGTCCTTGGCTGAGGTATTGGGGCACTGGGGCCATAGGGGCCTGGGGCTGCACAGTGGCAGTGGCAGTGGCCCAGTGTGCAGCTGAGTGGACCCTGGCCAGCCTGCCTGGGTGGGGGCGGGGTGTGCAAGCGCAGAGTGGACGCCCCGAGCTGCCACCTTCAAAGGGTGGTTGAAGTGTCTGGTGACTGGGACTAGGTTGCTGCTCTTGCTAGGGTGGGAGGTGATGTAGGGCTGCCTCTCGTCTGCTTCTTCCTCTCCCCGGTTCAGGTTCCAGTGTGAAATAGTAATCTGGACAGAAATGGATGGTGACTCCAGGAATTCTGTGTGAAGCGTGAACTTTCACGGTAATTGCTGGAGCCCATATTTCTTGGTGGCAGATGTTGAATGAAAGCGGAAATTCTTAGTTCATTTCTTTTTTAGAGTAAACACAACTTTATGGGTTTGCAAAAGAAAAGCTCACGTTAGTATAATACTGAACTTTGTTGATTCTGAGAATATATGTAGGGTACCAAACTTGTTTTGTTGACAGCAGCAGGCCTGCAGCTCTGAGTCCCTGGAAGATCACATTTATCCAGTGACGTCTGAGACTGTTCCTAGAAGCCGCTGTGCCATATTGAAACAGAAGCAATCTTAAGATGTCCATGCCAGGGAAAGATGAGTTCCCATGTTCCCTGTAGTTTTGAAACATGTTTTCCCTTCTCATCCTGGCTTCCATTTGTCGTGTAATGCAGCGTTCAGAGAGGGAGAGACTAGTTTTCTGTGACTGGCTGTGCCAGAGCCACCACCATGGCTCCTAGCAGTGACAGCGTGAGCCACAGCATCCTGGGGACTGTCCTGGCCCCTAGGAGTGTCAAGCACTTGTGCTTCAGACCCTTCTAACTGAATCACTGTGTACTTGACAGACCCCAGACGTTGGGTCCAGGGCCCTTCCATGCTTTGCACCCCGCGAGCTGTGCACTCACCTGCAGTCCGCTCGCCCCACCATGTCCACATGTCCTCCTCTGTCCAGTGCACCCAGGGCTGGGGCACTTGATTGTCTCTCTTCTGTGATGGCTCCTCCATCTTCCCTTGTCTTAAATGATCTTGAGCGTTGTTGCAAATGACAGTTTTATTGAGTTGCAGATCACAAACCATAAAACTCACCTTTTACAGTGGCAAGTGGTATGGTTCAGAGTTGTGAAACTTGCCTCCATGCAGCCCCTCACGTTTGTTAGTGGCCACCACTCACCTATATTCTGCTATCCATCCTGACAACGACACCTTGGCAGACCTGCAGAATGACCAGGCAGGCTTTATAGGTGGTGGTACGGGGCCGTGCCTTCCTGTGTGCCATATTGGGTACATGGCCTCTATCAGCTCTGGGCTGAGAGCTTTGGTAAAGGGGTCCACTGGAAGGTACCTGTCCTGTAGTTACGATCGTGCCCCCAAAATCCCCACTTCCACCTGTGACATTCACTGGCTGCCTTGGCACGCTGGCCAGTTTTCTGTCACAGGACCCCTGCAGATCAGTGAGTGAAGAGAATAGGTTTATTTTGGCTCACAGTAGCCCCCCCCAGGGGACAACCCAGGCCCTCCTGCATGCTGGGCAAGTGCTCCCCACTGAGCTGCTCCCACAAAATCTGTCTGTGGGCAGTTGGCTTGTTGCTGTAGGCCTGTGTCGGCAGGAGCATGTAGCGGAGTGGGACCTGCTCATCTCACGAGAGTGTTGGCCCACTGTCTCCAGTGCCCAGCTTCCTCCATAAGGCCCCAGGTGGCTCCACCACCTCCCCACAGTGCCGTGGGTGGCCAAGCCTTCAGCACTTGGGCTGTGGGGCACAATCCAGGTCAGACTGCAGAGTGGACTGAGGATGACTTTCTGTGTCCCACCCGCTTTGATGTGCATGTCCAGGTTGCAGGGTGCTGCTGCCATCACTCAGGTGCTCCCGCTGTGGCTGTCCCTCGCAGGCACCCACACCCACACCCTTTCATCAAGATGCCGCGCTTACTCTCAGCACTTTCTTACTTTCTGGTCCCACAAGAGGCACTGTCCTGTCCTGCCCAGCATCCGGCTCCTCCCACCAGGTGGTATTTGGAATCCAGGATGCGGGCACCTACCCCTCCTGTGCCTCTTCCATGTGCAGGGGACTGCCCCATCCATGCACACTGTCCCCACCCCAGGTGCCTGGAGGACGTGGTGGCCCGGAGCTGGGAGCTGGGAGTCTGGACCAGCCTGGGAGTGAGGGATCCACCTTGTCCAGCTCTGCAGCCGCAGTCCCTGTGTCTTCCCACCGCACCACCCCATACCACACCCCGGGGGCTCAGAGGGATGAGGGGCTCAGCGTGGAGAGGAGAAGCAGGGCAGTGGGGACCTCTCCGGGTCACTCACAGCGATTTTATTTGACTTCACCCAAGTGGGTGTGAAAAGGCTCCCTCTTCCTGCCTGTGGTGTAGGGCAGACTGCAGTTGCCTTCTGTGCTTGTGCAGCGTTTCCTGGCCACCAGCACATCTGCAGGGTTTTTTGTTACTCTGACAAATACTGAAGCAGGCCGCTTTATGAAGAAAAGGTTTATTTGGCATCACAGTTTTAGTCCAAGGTCAAGGGGCTGTGTCTGGCAATGGCCCGCTTGCTTCTGGGCAGTTGGCATCAGAGGGAGTGGTGTGTCTGCTTGTGCCAGTGTGCGTGTGTATCTGGTGTGTGCATGTCTGAGTGCACATCTGTGGGTCTCTGTGTGTGTGTCTTTTGCATGTGCATGCTTCTCATGCTGGCAGGACCCAACAAGGAGCTCCTCTTGTTGCTGTGTCTCACCTCTCAGGAGGGTTAGGTGTGGACCCATAAGCTGGGGGCTGTCCTGGCTTTTGTACGCTGGTCCTCTGTGGCTGACCGTCCGCTTGTGAAGCTCATGCTGCTGAAGGCGTAGGCAGCTGTTGCTGTGGTGCATGGGGTCAGCCATGTGGCTGGGCTCTGCCACCCTGTGGCTTTCATCAGACCTGGTCCTGACCACCCTGGGACGCTGATGTCTGGGAGGCCATGCTGCTCTCGTGGCCCCAGTTCTGGGTGGCCAGGCGGGTTGTGAATGAGCAGAGAGGGAGAGAGGCCTCCTGGTGGCGTGTGGCCTGCCTCACCTTGAGCTCCCTTTAATCAGCCGTGTCCTCTTTCCACAGTGCCCTGGTGGTTGCTTCAGTGTTTGACCGGAATGTGAACTGCAGGAGAGCAGCCTCAGTAAGTGTTCTTGTTCTCCAACGCTCCCACTCCAGGAGCTGTGGCGCCTGAGATGGGGGCAGGCCCTCCAGTGGGCAGGCGCTTGGGGTCCTTACGACATGTTGTGCTCAGGATGTGGGACAGCCAGGTGTAGGGCAGCCCTGTGACCCCCAGTACCACGCCGACTGGGGTACTTCTGCCGTGCCCACCAGATTCCCAGTAGCACTAGCAGCAGCTTGAGCCTCGTGAAGGAAGCCAGGCAGTCAGGTGCGCGTGGTTGTCTCAAACTGAGGGCTCTGCGTTCCCCACTCTTTCTAGCACTTGGGTGGGAAGCCAGGATTCATGCTGAGTCGTCACACCTTTGCCCTGATGATTGGTTACCTAACACAGTAGCTGTAAGACAGGGACATAATAAAAATTTAATAAAAATTTATGCTTAATCTGTACTTACAAGTTAACTTTCATGTTTTCTTTATTGTGACATAAGATATTTTTATGAAAGCAGTAATAAAATCAAAGCACTTACAGCTTTGTGTACCCTGGGGATGAGGTGAAACCAAAGTATATAAACCATTTTTTTCTTCAAGTTAAATTAAAGCGCTTTTACATTTGCAAGAAATTCTTTGCGCTACACACCACCTAAAGTTCACCTGCTTAGTACCACACTGGAAAATTAAGACCGTGAGAAGTCAGCCATCTGAAATTGTTGGATTCCTTTTTCCTTCAGTGCTGGGAGCTGAACCCAGGGTCTTTTGTGCTGAGATACATCCTCAGGCCTTTTGATTTTTTCTTTCTCTTTTTTGAAGTGTGAGGACCAAGTGCCTCCTGATTGGGAGCAAAGCTGCTCTTTTAGGCAGACCTTCTGTGCTCTGGTGCAGGAACCGCCGACTGGGCTTGGCCTTGCACGTGTGGCCCAAGGCCCTGCCTTCCTGGCTCTCTCCTGGCCCTTCCCCTCCAGGTGCTGGTGGTTGACACTGTCCTCTTGTCCTGGGCTTCAGCAGTACCTGGGGCTGTGCTGTTTCTCTGATGGTGTAGAAGTGGTCACCTTGCCCCTTGATGCTGGTCCTCCCTGCAGCCCTGGAGGAGGCACTCCTGTAGCTGAGGTCGGCCCTGCCCGTGTGTGCTGGCAGGTACTTCGGTGAGCTTGTGGGTGGATGAAATCACTGGCTCACTCCTGGTTGTTCCATATGCTGGAAGGTCCAGCAGCCTGGGAGTGCCGACTCTGAGGGGTTTCTTCTGCCCCTGAAGGACAGGGCAGCGAGATGGCCCCCAAGGCTCTTGTGGGGTTCCTGGCAGAAGTGGGGAGGAGATGAGCTGGGGCACTTCGCTAACAGCCACAGAAAGGCAGGAAGCCCTCTATTTAACTGGAAAGTTTTCATTCACATTTTTTCCATCCAGCACTTCATTTGCTGCATAGTGCCTAGTCTCTTAGAGCATTGCTTTCTGATGTTTCACATGAAGATAATTGAGGTTCACTTGCAGTTATAATATGCAGTGAGTTTATATGCCCTCAGCATTTGCACTGGTGATAAAATTTTGTAGTTTCCATGATACATAGCCAGGAAGTACACACCCCCACCACACCCACTGGCCCTGGTTGGGCTCCCTCACCTGTGTTTATGCTTCCTTCTGTGTGGCTGCAGTCTCCCGGCCCCTGCAATCGGGGCACCGTACAGTCCGCCTGCAGGACATCCCATGTCAGCCTTTTTTACCTCGGCCACCTCTCTCAGCTGTTGGCAACCAGTTTGCTCCAGCTCTGTCAGGCTTTCGTTCCTGGAATGCTATCCACGTGGAGTCTACGGCATGTGAGCTTCGGGGTCTGGCCTTTCCACTGGGCACATGCTCCAGGGCTCATCTGGCCTTGGAGTCTCTGGCCTCAGCTCTGGCTGTGCTGTGGTGTGTTTGCCTGTTGAGACACATCTTGATTGTCTTGATTGCTGCTGATCTGGGCCTATGCTGGGGATTTAGCTCAGTGGTTCTACTGCCTGCCTTGCAAGTGCAAGGACCCAAGTTCGATTCTCAGTACCAAGGGAAAAAAAAAAAAAAAGAATGGAGCTGTGGCATATCTGCATTCCCGGTGCACTGGGAAGCTGAGGTAGGAGAATTGCAAGTTTGAACTTGGACAACTTAGTGATACCTTGTCTCAAAATGAAAAATAAAAAGAGCCTGCATTCAATCCCCAGTCCTTGGGAAGAAAAAAGCTGTGTGGACCCTGTGTGCAGGTTAGATGTGAGCATAGCTTCTCTCTGCAGTAACGCCAGCAGCACAGCTGCTGGGTCACATCCTGTCCCCAGGGCCTGTGCCCCCCCCCCCCCCGCG